AATTTGGTTGATTGGAATAATGTAATTGGCCTAAAATGGGAGTCAAAGTCGGCAAAATCGCCGATTCGTAAATATCGCTGACACATCAAAATTCGCGAGAGCATAATTTCGTCAATTTTCCACCAAATTTCGTACTTTTTGTTTTATTACCTTCACAAAAAGATTCTCTACGATTTCATAAGAAAAAATAAAAATTTTTTTTTTTTAAATTCTTGGACACTGGTGCGTGACTCCAGATTTGGGCCTTGGACCCTGAAAGGGTTAAACCTGTCAAACCAGCCTCTGCTGGCCTTAAATTCACTATCAGCACTGGTTCCAGGAGTTTTCTGTACCAGATCGGCATGCAACTTCCTTGCCTTTTCGCAAATAATCGTCTCTGAAACACTATCACCTGCAATCTCTTTATCCTTGATCCACACCAGCAACAACTTCTCAACCTCTTCAACTATTCGTGGTCTTCTTTTGGTTAGCATATTAACACCTTTCGCAACATCAGCTTCCTTGATTTGTTCTTTCTTTGCCAGGATAGAACTGATGGTCGACTTGTTTTTCCCGTACATCCTGGCAAGCTCAACAAGTCTCACACCACTCTCATACTTCTGTATTATTTCCTTCTTCACATTTATGGTATTTCTCACTTTCTTTACCACAGGGGTACCACTAGCAAGTTTCTTTGGGCCCATGGCAGCTTATTTCACAGTCCCACAAGCACTAAACAATGAAATAATCATAAAATGTGTGAATGAGAGCGCAGGTTAGTGTTCACTCAAGCATAAACAAAGCTAGACTGCTCACGGCGCCTGCGCAGGGACGCGGACAGAGCGGGCCCACAGACATGTCCCGTACCCAGCGGTCCAAAAATAGGGGCGCGTTCGATAATAGGGACACAGTTTGTCCGAAAAAATGGTCCTATTTTCGAAACGTTCGATATGTGATATGTTCGATTTTTGAGGTTCCACTGTATTGTATATTGTTATTTGCAATAGTTGAGAGTATGGGATTACTGACAAGTTGTAAATAATAAAAATGCAGCATGCTCTTTGCCAGTGTGTAGGCATGGTGTTTAGGAATGTTTATTTTCATTTGTGCTCATGATGGGAATTCTAGTTCTTCCTTTCACTGCAGATTTGATCTGGCATAAGCTGTCAGTGACCTATTAAACTCCAACAACAACAGCAGCAGCAATTAATGAGATACTAATATGACTTTGTTGGGTTATTCTAGGTTACATCACCACCTGTCACCCTTGTATTCTTATACTGATCATGTGTAATGTGCAGCAATGTAAATTCTTCAATTGCAAAACATCAGATGAGTGCTCAGACTGATATAGTGAGGCATGTTAATTTGAATATTGAATGTAAACTACAGTATTGAAATGAGAATGTAGATTGGAATCACAAAAATATGGGCAGTATTGATACAGTATTTTTGTAGCAGTGTGATTTAAAGTAGCATTGGCTGTTATTTTAATTAATGATACTATATAGAGGTATTTTAGCTAGATTTTGTTGGTTCTAAATCTGAGCGGGTAATTCACACAAGTAGTGATGAAGAACTGATCTTCTGTTTGCTATTAGTGGCCTGGTCTGACCAGCAGATTACTACACCCTGCACCCCTATGAGAGGCACGTAGGTAACACCTGCCCAACATCAATCTTTACTGTGCATTTGCTTTGAAAGGTACCATATTAAATTCAGTTCTATGAGTCTTGCTGATGTGTAGTGTTACTCACACTTTCTACTATCATGAAAATGATCATACTGGAAAAATGATATTCAGTATGTACAAGAGGACACTTGTGTACAGTTCAGGACACTTATTAAGGAATCCTTTTTGCCTTGAGTTGCCACATGAGGACTGATGTCATTCATGACAAAACATTTCCCTTAATAAATGTCCTGAGCTGTACACAGGTGTCCTTTTCTACAGTTTATCAGTATCACTATACCATTTACAATAATTACGTACAGTATGTAATTCTGGAAAAATGCATAATTATAACTTTGTTACCAAATATTGTGATATCTAAACTAAGCAAGGACAGCATTCTGGGAAAATTTAGTAAGGATTTTATAAATTGAATAGCTGTATCTATTGTTTATAAATATAGTAAAGTTTAACACTATTGAATATTATGTATTTTAACATTACAGTACTTCAGCATAACTGATTAGACAGGTATGTCAAAGGTAAACACCTTCTGTAGAACCTTATTAAGTTTCCTAGAGATCACCAATGTTAAGGCAGCAGTTTAGGTTAGGTTTAACTCTTTCAGGGTCGACAGGCACTCTCAGAGACTTGTTCTCAGGGTTGGCCAAATTTAAAAAAAAAAATTTATTTTTTCTTATGAAAAGATAGAGAATCTTTTCCCGATCATAATGACACCAAAAGTATGAAATTTGATGGAAAACTTATGGAATTATGCTCTCGCGAAGTTAGCGATCTCGACAATGTTTATGCATCGGCAATTTTGCCCACTTTGAGCCCTATTTTTGGCCAATTCCAGTGTACTTGTTGACAAAAATCATAACTATTTCGCTAGAACTCCATCTTTTCTATCGAATGAGTACAAGAAACCACCCATTTACCGATTTCAACTATCCAGTACAGTGGTCAGAATTTAGCAATTTTGCCAATTTCACACAAATTTCAAAAGATGCCAATTTCCGAATAGGGTCCAGAATAAACAAGAAAGACATTCCTGGCACTAAAATAACATTTCCTCTGTTCATTAGTCACGTCCCCACGCCCCTCTTACATTTTTTTGCTTTCCACTTTGAATTTTTATTCTCACAAAAAAATAGAAGATTTACTGTTATGCAGACTACTGCATTAGTGTAGAAATGGTATAAATAATATCAGCGCATTTGTGAAAGAATATTAGACTCTCCAGTTTACGTGTATTGGACGCATAGCGTGATTTGTTTATTTTTGAACTTTGGTAAAAGTCGAACATTTCTGCTAGTTTGAGCTCAATTTCAAGGTACTTTTCTTTGTAAAACCAGTCAAAATCATCTCAATTTCTGTAATATGTCTTCCATTCTATAAAATGAGACCAGGAAAACTAGAATACAACAATAAATACCACACGAAAATACAGTGCAAATTCGCTGTTTTTATCCAAAAACACGGTCAAAGTTTTTTTTTTCTCATTACGCACTGTGTGCTGCAGGATTTTTTTATACCGCGCACACTGACCACATAGACCCATTCTTTCATATGTAGGCCTACCAGCTTTCTCTCACTAGATTTGAGGGCGCTAGAATTTAGGTGTATTAGTACAGCGCACGTCAAAAACCCTGGTGTGTAAGCCGTACTAGTACGGCTGAAACCTTGAAATGGTTAAGGCAGCAGTTAGGTTAGGTTAGATTAAATTTGCTAGTTAGATTTGCTGATGCTAGGGTGTTGGGGAGAGGGGTGGGATTAAATTATGGGAATAAAATACAAAATGGGAGTTGACACAGTTACTGTTTACTGATGATACTGTGTTTTTGGGAGATTCTAAAGAGTAGTTGCAAAGGTTAGTGGATGAGTTTGGGAGGGTGTGTAAAGGAGGAAAGTTGAAAGTGAACATAGATAAGAGTAAGGTGATGAGGGTATCAAACGAATTAGGCAAAAAAAAATTGGACCAGCCGGGCTGTGATTTGTATGTTGGATTGCGCATGGCCAGCAGTAACAGCCTGGTTGATCAGGCCCTGATCCACTATGAGGCCTGGTCACAGACCGGGCCGTGGAGGCGTTCACCCCCCTGGAACTCTCTCCAGGTAAACTCCAGGTGGAGGGAGGGAGCGTGAAATAAGTGAATGTGTTCAGATATTTGGGAGTAGACTTGTCAGTGGATGGGTTTATGAAGGACGAGGTTAACTATAGAATTGATGAAGAAAAAAAGGCGAGTGCTGCATTGAGGTATCTGTGGAGACAAAAAAAAAAAAAAAAAATTTCCCCAGAAGGCAAAGAAGGGAATGTATGAGAGTATTTTGGTACCAACACTCTTATATGGGTGTGAAGCATGGGTTGTAAATGCTACAGCAAGGAGGAGGATGGAGGCAGTGGAAAAGTCGTGTCTAAGGGCAATGTGTGGTGTAAATATTATGCAGAGAATTTGTAGTGTGGAAATTAGGAGGAAGTGTGGAGTTACTAAAAGTATTATTCAGAGGGCTGAAGAGAGGTTTTTGAGATAGTTTGGTCATTCAGAAAGGACGGAGCAAAATAGGATGACTTGGAGGGTGTATAAATCTCTAGTGGAGGGGATGAGGGATAGGTGTCATCCTAGGAAAGGATGGAGGGAGGGGATAAAAGAGGTTTTGTGTGCAAGGGGCTTGGACATACAGCAGGCATTTGTGGGTATGTTAGATAGGAGTGAATAGAGACAAGCTATTGGAGTGTGAGCAGGGTAATATTTTGTGAAGGGATTCAGGAAAACCGGTTAGCCGGACTTTGAGTCCTGGAGGGGGTTTGAGATATTGGCTGTTTGGAGTGACATCTAAACTGTCATATCTGATTGCCTCTGCAAAGACAGTGATTATGTGTGAATGATGGTGAAAGTGTTTCTTTTTTTGGGTCACCCTGCCTTGGTGGGAGATGGCCAACATGTAGAAAAAAAAAAAATGGCTAACCACAAGCAAATGTAACTTTTGTACATTGATTCATTTTTATATTTTGATGTTGAAAATGTTGAGAAAGCTTGGAGATCGTGTAAGTACTGATTGCATTTTAAACCTTCATTTTTATGATTAATTACATTCTTAATTCTTTAATAGTCTTATATAAAATTTTACTGAATGGAAAACATGAATAAATACAGGGAGTATAAATAACCCATTGAAAGTATCTAATCAAGACAGGACTCTCAGCAATGGGAAGAAACTCCCAGGTAGTGTCATTGAAGTTGAATGGGTATTTGAATAGGTGTGGTTGGATGTGAGTTTGACCTGCCTATCATGGACCAGTAGGCCTACTGTAATGTTCATTCTTATGCTGTAAACATTTCCTACAGGATGGGGATTCGAGTGATGATGATGGTTCGGAACATGGATCTCCCCATACCTCTCCACCTCACCGGGGCCACAGTCAACACCATCGTCGGAAACAAGACAAGAAGAAGAGACGATGAGATGAGAGATGAGAAGTTGGTGAACATAGGAATGATAGTCTGAATTTGGATCATGGAACACTTCTTCAAGAATGGTTGTAGATTATTTGTGGAAGTGTTATACTCTGCTATACTATATATGCCTGATGCTGAATTTATTGTGAATATAACTTTTCTTCTCATTGACAGTTTAAAATTTTGTGCCATAATTTGAGTAAATACATGTAATCATTGTAATAGCCGATATTTTTATTTTGTTGATTGAATATGACATTCACAACTATCAGTATGCCAAAGGCCTCAGGAAAATTATATAGTAATTGAGTTTCTTGACTCATTATGCAACAGTACTGCTCTGCATTTTTTGCAAGCACAGTTCATTATTACATCTTAGACATCTGTTTGTACTGTTTGTATTGTTATTCCAATAAATGCTGTAATAAACTTGTCTTGTAATTGAAGTTTTGAAGTTAGATTAAAGCCATTTTTTTTTAACCATTACTGGAGGTAAGTTTCCTTCTATCAATAAATTTACCTAGAGAACCCCAGCTTCACATATTTAAAGGATTTCATAAAATTAATTAAATGTAATGCACAGCTTATATATTTGAAACTGTTAATGTTACATATTTTGAAAATAAAATAATTATAATTGAATTTCAAAATATAAGCATAGAAAGTAGCATTCAGTGAAAAAAAAAAAAAGCAGTGATAGGAGTTTCTACATGGAAAAGTGTTGCAATACTTGCATTTTGGTGCAGCGATCTTGTGGCATTTGTTTTTCTACTTCAAAATTAGTATTTGTAATTGAAATTAATGAAATATTCTGTTATAAAAATCTTATAATTTCTTGTAAAAATAATGTTTATTCATATTAATTGAAAATTTGTATTTCTAATCTTTTTCTTTTAAAATATGTTATATACTGTAATTCATATAGAAATGCCTGATAGTTAATTATTGTTCTTAGTATATTTACTATAGTAAGCTTACTCAGTGTATACAGTAATTATTGTTGTCATTAAAGGTAGTAATTTAGTCTTGTTATCTTAAATTCTAATTTATATATTATGTAAGTTGAAAGTAAATGTGCATCTGTTCCATTAAGGTAGACTTCAGTTTAAACTAATTACCGATTAATCATGCTCATGTTTTAGCCTTAATGTAGTTCAAAGTATTATTGTGAATCTCTGCCTTCATAGTAAGTATTTAGGCAATATTTGCATTATGAATTCTGCTTCCTTAATATTTCTCTAATAAAGTTGCACTTCTACATGGAATGATGTGTTCATCTTCATGTAATTAGATAAGACAACAGGTATTCATATATGCTATGAATAAGTGAATAGCTTAAATATAATACCCAGGCACTGTATAACTCTCCTACAGGTTTATTATTATTATTATTATAATCAAACCCAAGCACTGAACCCTCTTATAGGTTTAGCACTTCCTCATAAATATAATACTGATAATAATTAAATATTACACACTACTTATATTGTAAACTCCCACTCCTTAAAAGTGGAAAAATGGGTAGTACTGACAAATTGTGCAATAAAATGACCATATGCATAATCTCCAAAACTTATCATAATTTTATTACATTATTATGATCTGTTATATAGACAGATCTTTATGTGAATGTTATTTTGATCTGTGATATGATATTCATGTTAATTACATACTGTTTATGCATTTTATTGAAGATGTCATGAAGTTCCATCTAACATGTGGTATGTATATTTTGTGACCAGTTATGAATGTCAGATTTCTAGTTAAAGGGTAGCAGTCGTGCTTAGTGCAAGTGTTTCCTTGCAGATATAATTCATTTATTTGTTTTCGATACTCTCCACAAATCTTTAGGACATTACAGGTTGATTAGTTTGTAGAGGTTTCTTATTTTTTAATACTCTCTATGAATGTTTAAAACATTCCAGGTTGATTATTTTAGTAAAGGCTTTCTCTTTAAGGTGAAATTTTGCATTTTTTTAAAATAAATATACCAGAATTATATTATTTTTTTTTTTTATCTTTCTGTATAATAATATTCGTGTACTGTATACATAAATGTTTGTCTGCTTATGATATGTAATGTCAGTAATAACAGAAAAACAATAGGTTTGTATGTCAGTAAGCATTAAATACAGTACAGAATTTTGTTTCATTGAAATTTTTTAAAGAAACCATGCATTCCATCTCTGGGTAAACACAGCTTGAGATCATTCAATATCCAGTTCTTCATGAATTTTTTTTTATAGTAACAGTGTAGGTAGTTTTATTATCTTGTCAGAAATATAAGGAATGTGTCTGTGTAAAATTTGTGGTGGTTATGGTAAGACAATTACAGTATATATGGCTAGGTATTAACATTACTGTACTGGTAATTTTTTTTACACTTGAATTTACAAGCTAATTGCTGTTATCCTATCTCAGCTGATTTCAAAGCCAAGCCCTATCTAAGGTATACTAATACCTCCTGGAATGTGGAGTACAATAGTTGACTAACACCCAGATACCTACTTGCTGCTAGGTGAAGAGGGACAACAAGTGTAAGGAAACATGACCAACGTTTCTACTTGTGCCAAGGATCAGACCATGGTCTGTTAGTGTGAACTAAGAGTGCTCCCATCTGAGCTAGGTGACCATTATATAATGCTCTTTTGAAAAATAGTGATATAAGACAAAAAGCAACCTAACAATGTCCAGTGGCATTACAATTTAAAAATCATACGACCCTGAGTAAGACTTGTACTATTTTAGTGTAACTTGTGTATCCTTTCTACCACATCTTGTTCATTTTAATACCTCCCTACTTGACACTGGCCTCCTACTCTCCATTTTTTGATTTGTACTTTCCTCATTGGCTTACCATTTTCATTTCATGATAAAAAAACTAACACCAACCTATAAGCACATTTCTGGCACTTTCCTCTGGGTGATTAATGATCCAATAGCTGGTGTCAGCAAGGCAGGATCTTCCTTGCTGCATTGGCCCTCCATAGTATTTTCCTGTTGGCAACCCTGCATACAATTTAATACAATCAAGACTTCCAATTAATAAAATCAAGGCATACAATTAAATACAATCATAATAAAATGCTACATATGTATTTAGAAAGTGAATTTATTGAGGTTAATTTAATGATGTTGATGAAGGGCTTTTGATTCAGGGAATTAGAACTGAATTCCCTTTCCTTTGAGTGAACCTAATTGTCTTCCATTTCCCCAGGTGCTGTATATATAGACCTCTACAGGTTTAGTGCTCTTCCCCCAATGAATGTAATAATAATTGAAGTTAATACAGTACTGATATTTCAGAATATGTGCACTATTATAAATAAAGCTTGAATATTACTTATGAATAAAGAAATCAAATGCAACAACAAACTTTCAGAATAATGAGCTATACAGATACAAAAACAAATGTGGTTTGTTATTTTTATACTGGGCCTGAAACTTTTCACTGGTATATCAGTAGTTGCTCAACATTAATACAGTGGACCCTTGGGTAATGGCATTAATCCGTTCCAGAGAGCTTGCCTTTAACCGATTTAGATGTTAGCCGAATTAATTTTCTCGATAAGAAATAATGGAAATCCAATTAATCTGTTCCAGACACCCAAAAGTATTAAACAAAATAATTTTTTTTAAATGAAATATACATTTCCCTACGCAGAAAACAATGAGACATGCACAATAAACAATACTGATATGACACCTTTATCGTGGACTTATTGATGAGTGATGAGACGGGAGGAGGGGAGAGGATGGAGGTGCACTATTGTTTGGAAGGGTAATCCCCTTCCATAAAGACTTCAGGTAACAAGTCCTTTTCTGGGGTTACCTCCCTTGGTTTTTTAATGCCACTGGGAACAACTTGAGAGTCACTGGACCCCTGTCGCACAAAATATTTGTCCAGAGAGCTCTGTTACTCGCCTCCCTTTAAGATTTCCCTAAAATGGGACACAAGAGTGTCATTGTACATGTTGCCAATATGGCTTGTAACAGCTGTGTCAGGATAATATTCATCCATAAATGCTTGCAACTTTGTCCAAATCGTATACATTTCCTTAATCTTTGACGAAGGCAAATTCCTCCGTCTCTCTTCCTCCTCCTCTGCAGCACATTCCTGAGCTGTGATCTGTTGCTGTTGCACCTGAAGCTCTTGTAGCTGTGTAGTGGTTAGCTCTTCATTGTCATCCTCCACCAACTCTTCCATGTCCTTGCCACTAACCTCTGTCCCCATGGGCTTCCCCAGTGCCACAATAGATTCCATAACTGGCATAGGCTCCTCAGGGTTAGCCCCAAACACTTCAAGATCCCTCTCTTGTACACATTCTGGCCACAATTTTCTCCAAACAGAGTTCAAAGTCCTGCAAGTCACTCCCTCCCAAGTCTTACCTATAAGGTTTATGCAAGTGAGGATACTGAAGTGATCTTTCCAGAACTCTCTTAGGGTCAGTTCGGTGTCTGAGGTCACTTCAAAGCACTTTTGAAACATTGCTTTGGTGTACAGTTTTTTGAAGTTTGAAATGACTTGCTGGTCCATGGGCTGGAGGAGAGGAGTGGTATTAGGAGGCAAAAACTTCACTTTGATGAAGCTCGACTCCCCTGTAATTTGCTCTTGCAAGTTGTGAGGATGAGCAGGAGCATTGTCCATTACCAGGAGGCACTTGAGTAACAATTTTTTTTCCAGAGGGTATTTTTGCACAGTGGGGCCAAAGATGTCATAGAACCAGTCAAGGAAAATGTCCCTAGTGACCCATGCTTTACTGTTTGCTCTCCACATCACACACAGTTTAGTCTTGACAACATTGTTTTTCTTGAACACTGGGAGTTTCCAAGTGATACACGAGTAAAGGCTTCACTTTGCAATCCCCACTAGCATTACCATAAAACAGAGTTAGCCTGTCTTTCATAGGCTTGTGTCCTGGGAGTGCCTTTTCCTCCTGAGTAATGTAGGTCCTGTTTGGCATTTTCTTCCTGTCACAATTGAACACTTGTTGGGGTTTTAATTGTTCAGCCTTTATACAGGCCTTGAACTCCTGTACGTACTTTTCAGCCGCTTTTTTGTCAGAACTTGCAGCCTCTCCATGCCTTACAACACTGTGTATGCCACTATGATTCTTAAATCTCTCAAACCAACCTTTGCTGGCCTTAAATTCACTAACATCAGCACTAGTGTCAGGCATTTTCTTAATTAGATCATCATGCAACTGCCTTGCCTTTTCACATATTATTAACTGAGAAACACTATCTCCTGATAATTGTTTCTCATTTATCCACACCAACAACAGTCTCTCCACAAATTAGAGTATTTGCGATCTCTGTTTTGAAAACATACTTGCACCTTTCACAACAACAGCTTCCTTGATTGCCTTTTTGTTGGCCAAGATAGCAGTGATGGTTGAATGGGGTTTGTTATACAGTGGAACCTCTACTTGCGAGTTTAATCCGTTCCATGACCTTGCTCGCAACTGAATTTGCTCGTTTGCAGAGTCGATTTTTCTCATTTAAATTACAGGTCTCCCTCAACATTCGCGAGGGTTAAGGGATCAAGAGCCTCTCGAATGTTGAAAAATCATGAATGTTTGGTGCCCCAATATATTGTAGGGAAATATAATACAATTCTGCTTCCTTAACTTGTTGAACCATAAACAATCATAAAATACATGAAAATGTTGTAAAATATTGTACTAAATACATGCATGTTATGGTTTAATAACATGTATGTTATTAAATACCACTGCCTCCACCAGTGCCTCCACCAGTGCCTCAACCACTGCCTCAACCACTGTGGCACACTGCTCGTATTTTGGTACAATTTCTTTCTTCAGTTATATTGTGTTTCTCAATTTCTTTACCAAAGGGCTGGCACTAGCAAGTTTCTTTGGGCCCATGGTTAATTATGTAGCAGTCGCACTCAATCTTCAAGCACCAAACACAATGAATTATTGTGAAATGTTTGGATGAGTGTGGAGACTAATGCTCACTCCAGCATAAACAAAGCCACACTGACTGACGATGCCTCAACCACTTCTTCCACCACTGCTTCAACCCTCGTATTTTTGTACAATTTCCTTCTTCAATTCTATCGTATTATTATTATTATTAATCCGATAGAATTGAAGAAGGAAATAGTACAAAAATACGAGGGTTGAAGCAGTGGTAGAAGAAGTGGTTGAGGCATCGTCAGTGTGGCTTTGTTTATGCTGGAGTGAGTATTAGTCTCCACTCTCTTCCAAACATTTTACAATAATTCATTGTGTTTGGTGCTTGTAGATTGAGTGCGACTGGAGTGGTAGAGGCATTGGTAGAGGCAGTGGTTGAGGCAGTGGTTGAGGCAGTGATAGAGGCAGTTGTAGAGGCAGTGGTTGATGCAGTGGTTGAGGCAGTGGTAGAGGCAGTGGTAGAGGTAGCAGTTGAGGCAGTGGTTGAGGCAGTGGTTGAGGGAGTGGTTTTTAATAACATGTTATTAATAATAATAATACATGTTATTAATAACGTGTATTATTATTATTATAACATATATCTTATTAAATACCACTGCCTCAACCACTGCCTCAACCACTGCCTCAGCCACTGTCTCAACTGCTGCCTCTACCACTCCAGTCACACTCAATCTACAAGCACCAAACATAATGAATTATTGTGAAATGTTTGGAAGAGTGTGGAGACTAATGCTCACTCAAGCATAAACGAAGCCACACTGACTGACGATGCCTCAACCACTGCTTCAACCCTCGTATTTTTGTACAATTTCCTTCAATGCTATCATATTATTATTGTAATAAAGTTGGTAGAATTACCGACAATATGTAAAGTAAAAGGACACAAGTGCAACTAATGTGACATTTATTGTGGCAACGTTTCGCTCTCCAGGAGCTTTATCAAGCCATTACAAACAATACATGGACACAGAGGGTATATAAAGGCTCATAGTGAGGTGCAATACTAGTGAGGTAACATTTCGATGTTCACTAGTGGTAGTAGTAGTAGTAGTAGTGACAAAAGTAATACAATATGATAGAGCAATTAATTCGTACAAGAGTAAAAGGATATAAAAGCTATTACTTGGGTAACATAAAAATAGGTTGGACAAATATAGACTGGAAAGAGGCAGCTTGTTTCAGTGTTCACTCTCTGTAATGTGC